ATAGAAATTATTAAGGAAGCGGATAATTGAAAACTTACATCCTGAACAGTTAGAAAAAATCTTATCCGTGTGATTGTAAAATGAGTTATGAAGTAACAAAATTTTCTTGTCATCGTAACTTTTTTTTTTTAAGAGAAGAATGATTGAGTTGACCAGTAAAAAAAAAATGTAAAAATAAATTATTATATTTATTTTTACTATAAAAATAAATATAATTATTTATTCAATTTATTTATTTGTTTTTTTTTTAATCAATTATTCATTACAGTCAACCATCAATCCACAATTATAACTTTTTTTTCTATTTTCCATCGGATATCTATTGTATTGCTCTTATGAAAATTAAAAAGGCTTTAAGTGGATGACTTTCTGAAGAAACGTTTTCGTCGCGGTCAATTGAGGTTTGTCATATCGTTTTACAATACTGAATTTTGCGGAATATCTGAAACGGATTGTTAACAACAGAATATTAGATTACTGTTGAGGTAGTAATTATCAAAATTCGAGACAGCTGATACGAGAAACAGCCACCATACTGATATGCACATATTGTCAAATACTCACCCACGAATAGTCGGTTACCTGCCAAATTATAAAACACGTCTGGGTTGACAACGTGGCAAGAGATATAAATAGTTCATATGCATTCACCATTTAGTATTTTGGGATATAATCCAAGATTTATATTTGCCAACTATCCTTTCTTGTGATACTACAATATAGAAGAAAATGAGTCTATCGTTCTGATCGAAACCTCTTGGAAAGGGGATTTTCTATTTTATTAAACCAATGAAATTTACAACGGACAACACTTCATTTGTCCTAAGAAAATTGGAGTGTAAAAGCAAAGAAGAACAAAACGGTAAAGAATCTAAAATAAATATCAAAATGACGAATATTATGAAACAGATCGATAATGTTCGATTCCAGTTTCACTCAATCTTGACCAGTATTTTAAACCTTAAAATAAAACTCTACTTTATAGGACTAATGTTACCCTCTCAAGTATGTCTCAATCTTCTTCGAAATTTCATTTACCAATTTTTTGTCAGTTTAGCGCTGATTCATTATAATATTTCTTCAATCTGCCTCGTTTCAAACGTTGCAAGCAATGATGGAATATCACAGGCCCGTTTTCCTTCCTTCAATTTACGTTATAAAGCAAAGCCGGACACCTTTTCCTTTTGAAAAGAACAGTACGAATTGTAATAATCTTACAATACTACATTTCTGGACTGTAATCATAAACTGAGTAATTTTACGACATAAAATAAAAAATTTTACTGCTTTTAACTCTTGCTTTTATCTCCTCTTGAATTTCTTATATTTTAAAATATCTTACGCCCGGGTTATTTAACTCTCTTTTTCTTATTCAAACTTTTCTTTGTTTATTTACATAACCCAAATCGTTTTCCTTTATATCACCAAAAATCTGCTTCCGTTTATCCATATTCGATTCTATATGCTTGGATTTATTTCAGAAGCGAAATTAATATATCAAAGCAATGAAAAAATTAAATAACGAAGTAATGAAATACACACAGAAAGAAATGTAATATCAAGAGATTCAAATTGTAACTGGCAAAAGTCAATTAAATAGGATGACGTAGTTGCTATAAGTTGATATATTAATATGTTCACAGGAAATGAGATAAATATAGAATAATAATGAAAGACAAATAAAAGGAGATTAATGTTATGTAGAGAAAATAATTAAAGTAAATAGAAAATAATGAGATGTAGTGAAATCTATCGAAGCATATCGTACACAAATGTATTAAAAATATTGTTATATAAATTGTGAGATTGTATCTTGTCATGAAATATTAGTCAACATCCTAAATTTCTTTTCATTTTTAGGTTGAAAAGAAAATATTTATGCATTTTTTGAGATGATAAAATTTATTATATATGTTTAATGACTTACGCACTAAACATATACTGATTATATATTTATTTATAATACACAAACATATAAAAATATTGTTGTGCCGAAGAGAAATAAATAATATAGAGAAGAGTTGAGACGACGCAACCGGTAACCGAGTTTATCATGTTCCCGTCTTCAACTTCCTCCATCCAGTCAACCCACGGGACTATCGTCAATATTATATCGGATCCTAATGGTCTCACGGGGTTGAAATAAGCTATTATATGAGGACATTTTCGATGACAATCGAAAAGAATTAGTAATGATCCTTTAAAAAAATTAATAAAATCAGTTTATTTATGAGTGTAATTTTATACCTTTCCAATAAAACTAAGTTTTATAGATCTCAAATGGCGGAAGGCATGGCTGAATTCCCTTCTCAGTACTGAGAATAGGTCGATACCATTAGGCCCTCGACAACTCATGCAAAACTTTCCTATGAATATATGCCCCCTCATAATTCACAAAGCCCTCCTACACATGACTTATTACTTTCGGATTCGTCGAAATTGATCATATTTTGTTTCTAGGCTGACGTGAGGAGTTACTGCTGGAATTCATGGAGTGCTGGCTGATCGATTTAATATATATTCATATTTCATATAATACGCAACTATCTGGAGAATAGAGTCTAGTCGATCAAATTTATGTAGATAGATATATTTTTATTTAATATATTTTAGGCCATAGGTCACCAATACATTTTTATTGTATTTCTTTATTTGCCAACGTTTCGGCTTCTTGAACCATTTTCAAGATTCTATCATGCGCCACTTCATAAAAATATATTTTATATATCATCAATATATATTTCGTCCAAGACTTGAGTGAACGAGAAATAAAGGAATATCAGAGGCTCTTAAAAAGGGAAGCCGAAAAGTTGACAAATAATACGAAATACAATAAAAGCGTATTCTAAAAATGGTGACCTATGGCCTAAAATCTGTTAAAGAAAAACATAACAAAACGGTACCGAAAAAAAATATAATAATAAGAAAGTTAGATATATTTACTGGATGAATATCATATTTTGCACGCTACACGGTATAATTTATTAATATTAATATGAGGTTGTTGAGGAAATTATATCCAAGGATCTGTCGTTTTCACGAACTAATGAGCCATTTAGTATTAATTGGTGAATAGTTTTGAAATATAAGAAACGAAAATTTCGCAAAAAAAATAAAAAGATTCCAAGCCAGTCAAAATGGCGTATCATAATCAAACGTTAGTTTATAAATTCGGGAGAGTTTGGGCTCAGAACGAGATTTGTCCCGATCTCTTTAACATTTTTAATTGCTTGATCATTAAGTCTTGATTATTTCTTAAGGGGAGATAGATGAGGAAACTGAAATTTGAAAAGGAGATTTTTTAATGATGAATGTTCAATATACATATAAACATCAACACGTCCAAGCATATTTCCAAATCTTGGTGATAAATCGTTGCTGAATTATATTTAATAGATTTTTTTAAATTCTGAAATGAAAGTTGTTAATGGCTATCTCCAGTTGTTAATGTACACTTGTTTAAATATTAAATTAATAAATTATTCTAAATTGTTGGGTTGATAATTGTGGAACTATGTACGAAATACGTCGTTTTAATTTTATTATGTAAATATACATGAATATTCAAATTGGGAACATAAATAAAGTGGTACACCTCAGTTATTATATTCTGTATTATAAAATAAAGTTATCATTTAAGGTGAGCTTTCTTGCACATGAATGACGAAGGAATTATTAAAAGGATATTGATCGAAGACGAATAAGCGAATCCCTTCCACAAAAATAGAAAACCCACTGATTCATCGACAATGCGCTTACGTAACGTAGATTCCACAATACAAAGATTGTATATACCAGGAGTGCCCAGAAGGGGATTTTATGGTGCGTTGCGCCATAACACATTTTCAGAGGAGCATATTCTGACGGTTTTTTGAATTTTTGAGAGGGCCACATTTCAATGGGGTTATGAATTATCGGAAAGAAAAGTTTCAGAATAAGGAACAAGGAAAACATTATAAAATATACCGTTGTAAGTGTAATTGTTTATGATCTACGATTTTTCTAATTATACTTTCCCTTGCTCTTTGCTTATGAAAAGGTGAGTAATACAATATCGTAGAAGAATATAACAACATAGGATTTCACTATTAAAAAAAGAAAACGGTAATAATGAAAAGAAACTTTGGATTGTAAAACAGTTAAGCTTGGATATATATTAAAATTGTAAGATATGTACTGCAAGAATCGTTCTGTGAATTTTAATGCTGTGATCCATTATTATTATTTGTTTTATGTATTTTAAAAACAATATCGCAATAATGATAAGATAGATAATAAAAGATTTCCTTTGATGGATTATATATTCATTAGCTTAGTAAAGGCGAAGGAAGGATTTAAGGGAGCAATGATAGGTTACTTAATTATTCTTTGTTGAAAGTTTAGTCAGCACTGTTCTCAAACAATCTGATTTAGCTCTAAAATAATACATGGTATACATAAACATATAATTGTATATATAATATATAAACCTTCAGTTTGTTAGTTAATAGAACTTTAATATTTTTTTTTTTCTCTTGCCCGTCATGACACAACGGATAAATATTAATCAATTAATTAGGCATTGAAGAAATAAATAAAATTCCAAAGCGGTTTAGAGGTCATCAATGTATCAATTATCTATAATTGGAATAATTTATCTAGCCTTGGTTTTTCGGCCTAAACGAAAGTTATTACGAAATTAAACTGCCGTTTTGAATATGTGAATACCCTAATGGACCACGAGAAGGAGAAAGGGGAGGGGGGAGGGTGTTGTTGAGTGGGGGTGGGGAGGAGAAGAAACCGCTTGCATCAGCTGGGACGGCCGCTGCTAATGAGAGAGCCGTGCCACGCAACCTGACCAATTATGTTAATGAACATGTCTGCGTCTGCGTGGACGCACGGTCTTTTGTTTCTTTTCCCCTTCGCGGAGGAAGGATAATGGATTAACGGCCGTAGCCTTGATAAATATGCATAAGATAACACTCTACCATCGCTGGATATGTGTCAGTGGGTATCCTTACCTCTCTGTGCTCGTAGGTCTTCTTCCGCGAAGACGCCATCTGAAAAAAACAAAAAAGAAATTAGTATCAGTAGCAATGGAATGGACCTCTGAAGGTGCAGTAGGAATCGTCTAAGGAGAGCCTCTTCAATGTTTATTTTTATTAAATGCAATAATCTAAGATTATTTTATAATTCTTTTGGCAGAAATTATTTATGGGTTATAATCAACAGTAATTCGGCAGATGAATGAAGTACTTCAAAAAAATATGCATCTGAATAACATTCACCTGAAGGCACAAAGTGCCGCTTTGATTTCAATTAAAATTATTACATTTTTAAAACAGTTTACTAACATAAAAATTATATATATTTTTTTTTTATGCCCATTAGCTTATTGTAATATATTCAGGGGAAGGATGATCTAGGGCGGGAGTAAAAAAAAGAAAAAATAGTAGAAATTATTTTTCGAATCCGACATTTCGACCCAACAAGACTAGAAAGATTTATGCTTCAGAAAACTGTAGCAGTTTCAAGATATTTAGATGAAAAATTAAGACAATTATTAAAAGAGTAAATAAAAAGTAGGTAAAATGTAGAAAGTACATTAAAATATAAAACGAATAAGTAAAAAGAATTCACATATCAACAGATTTTATAAAAAGTATTTTTTTTTTTTAATAGTTGAAAATTAATACATTCTGACACATTGGAGAGCAGTAAAACGTAATAAGAACATTCAAATATGGAACAAAGTAACAACAAACTATAATATAGTAAATTGAAAAATGGTAACAACAAATGTAAATAACAATTATTCTATTTTACTTATTTATTGATATAATTTTTTTTTCTTTGATATTTTAATCTACATATGGACCAGTCATGAATGTGAGAATCAGTAGCTGAAAATAATTAATTGGTAATTTAATTTTAGCCAAAGGAAGGAAAAGGAGATCTCTCATCAAACTCCTTTTCTATCTCCAACTGATGGCCATTTTATTTATAATTAGTCTATTCATGTGTTAATATGAAATTGACACTAAATAGTACGATAGTTGGTTCTCGTAAGTCGCTATCAAAAGCTTTGTTGTTTACATACCAAGGAGCTCTTATAAGACATAAAATTTTAGATTCAAAAGATAATCGATTTTGTAAGTGCAGTTTTTTTTTTAATAGACCGTAAATCTGTGAGACATTTGTCTATATGAATTGAAGTTGGTGTGTTTTGCTTAAAACAGATATAATTAAAAAAAAAATATTATATATACAGTGAATTAAATATTACCCTATTCAACTATCTTTATTTCCTTTTACATTTCTTTCTTTTCCCTCTTCCCGACATATTTCCCCCCAATATCAAGATCTTAATCAATGAAAACCGAACCGAGTAACAGAGAAAATAAGGATAGAGTAAATTAGTTGAGGATTGTGGGTGATTTATAGTATTTGGCCATGTTAAAAATAATATTAAACCTAGTTTAAGATTTACTATTGCTTAATACGAGGATTATTAATTATAATTATAATTTTGACGTAAATTAATATTCATAAAAAGAAACTGAAAGCTAGTTTAAATCCAGTTCGTTTTCGGACCCGCAACTCGTGAAATGGTGTATGAAAACTCTTAGAGCAGAGAAAGAAAGCTACCCCAAGACTTGATCTTTTAAATAATTCAGCTTTCCATTAAATGTCCAAGAAACTTGTTAGAACTGTTCTTTTACCGGAATCCGAATGGATTTATTTTTAAAAAAATTTATACGGAAAAGTAATAAAAAAAAAAAAGAATTTTTCAGTAATATATATTTTATTGGTTAAAAGCAAAATAAAATATTAAGATAATATTAACAAATAAATAAATAATTGAAATTTGTAGTGTACAAACATTACCATGAAATTGTGTGTAGTAATTTATATGATACATAAAAACTAGGCCATTTTTCAAATTTATGATCAATAAAATAATTTATTCCTATTTCTATTCAATAATTTTAAAAAATATTCATAAAATTGAGAAATGAAAAACGTTAATGATAAACTGTGAAAAAAAGATCTTGTCATATTTATTACGTTTGGAGTCATTTATAATCTTTTTATTTAATTAATTTTAGGCTAAATGTCACCAATTATTCTTATGGTACAGCAGTCTCACAATAAAATTATTTTTTCATTTCATTTCAATAAAATAGTATTCTGTTATATATATATATATATATATATAGCAAGTTGACAATAAAAGATATATATATATATCTTTTATTGTCAACTTTTAGGATTCTTGAGCCATTTTCAAGCACCTACACCATGCACCATTATTTAAACAATTTGCACAAGCTTTTTTATCCATTTCTTATTCCAGAAAATTTCTGGTTTGCATAAGACATTAAATTTGGTCCTACTTGTTGGAAATTAAAAATGTTATATAAACATTTTTGGAATAATGGTGCTAGCAAATGACTCCTGAAACCGAAACGTCGACAGTAAAAGAAATGTATATATATATATGTATATATATATATATATATATATATATATATATATATATATATATATATATATATATATATATATATATATATACATATATATATATATATATATATATATATATATATATATATATATATATATATATATATATATATAAAGTATTTTATTGGTGACCTTTGGTCGGCGATCAATTAAATAAAAAAAACGTATTAAATTTAATTAGCCCTAAAAGAAATTAAAATGCCATTCAGCTAATAGCTATTAAAATACTTCAAAAGAGGTCTCAATTAGCATTTAATAATCTCATTACCAATGAATATACGGATTCTATTTAATGAAAAATTCAGATTGATGTGATGTGGGCGTTCTAATACCTTTTACCGGCGCAATCGTTGGTCATATATATTTCAACCACTCAGATCAGTATTACAAGCAAATTATTTATATTGACGGGGTTATGTACTAAATTATACTCACACATTAAAGTAATAAACACTAAACGAATGTGCCAGAATGCAATGTTCGTAACTGTTGCAGGTTTCATATGCCGTCGCAGTTTAAATCAAAATCAAATTAAAGCTTAAATAACCTAACCAATGTTCGAACTAATACCTTGTATAGACTTGACGTGTTTTCATTTAATTCCAATTTAATTAATAATTAGTGTTACCTGCTGAAGGTGTTTCTCATATGTTATAAATCATGTTAAAATTGACCCGATTGTATTTGAATGTATTACAAATTGGGCCAATTGCATACTGAAATTTCCTTAAATATTAAAAAAAAAATATAGATCCATGTGGTATTTACAAAATATAAATAAATTTATTGTAGTTTCAGGTTGATGTTTATGTGAATTAAATTATCTAAATCAAGATGTGACCTAAAAATTAATCCTGGAAATGAACTTGTTGCAACAAATACTGTCGTTATCTCAGAAAAGCCATATCAGTCGCTCTGAAGAATATTTAAATTTATATATATATATATATATATATATATATATATATATATATATATATATAATATACTTTTTTTCTATAAAATTTATATATAATAATAAAACCCCACATTTGATCACCATTGTCCTACTTTATACTAAAGAATGCTTGATTAATTCAATTAAGTTGACATAGGAAATACAGTCCGTAATAATTTTCAATTATTAAAATAGGTTACTTCCCTTAAAAATGGCTTAAGGGCTGAAACTTACAACAAAAAAGTAGGAATATGGTGATCAAATATGTAATTTTATTATTACATATATTAGTTGTTATAGTGAAAAATATATATAATATTTTCTACTTTCTCAATTGTTAAATGATATACAATCCTAGGGAATTTGATGTTTGGTCAATGAATATACAAATATATTTCGGCGACTGTTTCTTATAATAAAATTTAATGAGCTTGTATTAATCGATACCAAAAATATACTACTGATATATCAATAATAAAATATAAAATTCAAATAAAACTAAGTTCCTTGTCTTCCTATACGACAAAACCAAAAAGGACTGAAAAATCCAAACAACTCCAACGTACCTGTAACTTAACCTCTTTACACTTTACTTAATCAGTATAAAATTCGAACTATAAAGTTGAATAAGTGTATAAGTTTTAATTTACCATTTATTTAGTGTTCGATCGATTCGCAATTTTTCATAATAGTAAGTGCAATTGAGTTCCTAATTTTCTTGCACTTAATATCTCAATAGTTGAAGTTCGATCGATTGATGTTGGAGACTGATGTAGTTTAGATTTTTACATTTATAACATAACAGTATTAACTTTAAATTGAATTTATTGTTTCTGATTTTTTTTCTCTTCGCAGTTTTCCAGTTTTGACGTGTCAAACTCTGCGAAGAGACAATTGGTCCTAATGAAAAATCGAAGGGAATGAGGCAAGTTGCCGTCACGGAATCTCTTTTCCAACTGAAGGGCCTTAGTTCGCAGTCTTTGACTTCTTGTCTGCGGCACGTGTTGTGAGTTAATACTTAACTCTGAATCGCTCTGGGGACTTTAGTCTCCTGAACGAACGCTCATTCAATTGATTCAATTTCGTCAATTGATTCAATTTCAGCAAAGGAGTATATTTGAGCTTTAAATATAAATCATAGGCTACCACAATGAAATGTTGTAAGTACAATTATATGTAATACTCAGTAATTGACCATCCGTATGATTAGAAAAAAGATGCTCTGGAGTAGAGGTCATAAAAAAAACTGAAAATAGTGGAATTTGTGAACACTACATTTCGACACAACTGCGCAGGTCTTCCTTCACCAGAGCTAATGTATCAAGAACAAGCTTTAGTTTGGAACAACTACAAAATAATTTAAAATAGCCTGCGATTTGACACAACCATGCAGGTCTTCATAGTTTCCAATATTTTAATTTATTTTATAGCAGCAATCCTGAAATAGCTCTCTTTCCGCGTAAAATTGTATGTGTGACACCTGTGTGTTAAATGTAAAAATCATATTTATGCAAAAACGCAATTAAAAGTTTAGTGCTTTCATAGGTGAATGTTCAATTTTCAATTTCCATGATTCACAAAGGAATGTTCATC